TGATTTAGAAGCTGAAAATAAAATATGTAAAATTACACAGAGTTGAAAAATGTTTTTTATTTTTCGGATACTAATAAATGTGTTTGGCGCTGGGGAATTAGGTTTAGTAAATTTTCTCCATTTCTTAAAATACTTCCTTAAATCTTCCTTATCAACCTTGCCATTTCTCTTTCACAGCCTCTTTCAATTGTTTGTATGGGGGGGGGGGGGCTTAAATTCGAATTTGGTATTATTCTTTCGAGATTTTCACATGATTTAGAGATCTGTTATACAGTTTTTCCGGACCAATATAAATACATGCTTAAAATTTTTGTGCGATTTTGACCGACAATATGGCTCCGCTTTTCGCAGATTCCTTACTGCGGGATATTTGTCAATTGTTGAATGATACTAGTAATTGTGATGTGATAATCGAGGTTGGCAATGAGAGAGAACCTTTTAAAGCTCATTTTGTAATTTTAGGAGCCCGTTCTCCTTATCTGAAAACCGCTTTAACTTCTAATTTGGTGAAAAAAGAAAATGATATGATTATTTTTACAATGCCAAATACTTCTCCTAAAGTTTTCGGAAAAATCCTAAAGTAAGTCAATTAAAATCAAAAAACATTCATTGTAATGATAATTAATATTCATATAATTTCTTAAAGATATATTTATACGGGTGAATTTCTTTTAACTGATGAAGAAGATATCCAAGAAATGATGCTCGATTTGTTAATAGTGGCCGATGAATTAGCGCTTCTTGAATTAGTCAAGTACATGGAAGAATATATTATTACTTTTGAGCGGGATTGGATTCAAGAAAATCTTGCAAAAATATTTTCCACCGCATCCAAATACGAAAAATTTACTAGACTTTGGAAACAATTTTGTGGAGAATTATTAGCACAACGACCAAATGCACTTTTCACTTCCTCATATTTCCTTTCGTTAAAACGGTCAACCTTACTTACATTTATTAAACGCAATGACTTGAATATTGATGAAAGTGAAATTTGGAAAAATTTGATCAAGTGGGCCTGCGAACAAACGCCAAAACTCTGTCACGAGGTTGAGCGATTGACACAAGATGACTTTAAGGAATTAGAAAGCCGATTGAAAGATTTTATTCCATTTATTAGATTTTTCAGTATTACAAAGGATCAGTACATTTTAGGAGTTTTACCTTATGAAAATATCCTTCCTGATTCTTTGAGAAATGAATTAAAGAAATTCTTTGAATCGAATGAGGAAAAATCTCCACCTAAAAATTTTTGTTCGTCAAGAATTCCAATCACTCAAACGGTGCCAGATTCCGTTCTTATTAATAATAAACACATGGCACTTTTAGCAAGTTGGATCGATTCAAAAGACAATGATGGAATTAGCTTTAATATTTCAAAAAACGTTTATGAATTTAATCTATTGCTTCGCGGAAGCCGTGACGGAAAGACTATTCGAGAATTTCACAAATTCTGTATTAACAAAGGACCTACTTTAGTTATAATTAAAGTTAAAGGTACCAATCAAATCATTGGTGGCTATAATCCCGAACCATGGAATTTAGAATATGGATTGAAATACAATGAAGGCGCTTTTATTTGTTCTTTGGGCGGTGGTGACAAAAACTTTGGTATCATTTTAAGTCGAGCTAAATATAACGAAATGTCAATTCGTAATGCACCGAATTTGGCAATTGGATTTATGGATCTTGGATGGTTTGAAGGAAGGTATAATCATTTATATTTCGAAAAAAGAATTATGGAGAGTACTTATAAGGAATTTATTCAAGACTATGAAGTTTTTCAAGTTTGTAAAAAGATTTTATAAGGGACCCATTTTTATTTTTGGAAAATATACTTATTTAAGATTTTGATTTTATATTTATTTTTACAACTGCGCGTATATGTAAGTGAGGTTTCAAAAATCGCTATCTTGTCATGTATTTGAACATTATCGTCATCGATCTTATATTGCCTAGATATATATTCGAATAAATTATTCTCAATTCGTTGTTTATTCAATTAACTTATCATCCATGTTAATTAAATGAGTAATATATGTAATTGTTTTATAACACTTCCATAATAGTATGTTTATTTCTTTGATAATCGATAAACTTTGAACATATTATTTTTAAATATAATACATGAATTGTGGAGAGAATCGTAAATTGCACCGATAAAATAATTTTAAGCTAATAATTGTACATCTACACCTTGTTCTCTTAGATTTTTCATAACATTTCTGTCTAAAAGGCTAATAATATTTACTTGCATATTAAGTTTAAAAATTTTTAACGATTTCCTTATTTTAACATAATCTAAGATAACTTGTAGACAATGTTTCCCAATTCCACAATTAATTTTTAATGATGTTAAAGAAGTTTTGGTGTTATATAAAATAGTTTCTAATATATCTGCTGATAAAATGTCATCATAAAATAAACCTAATTTACTTAAAGATTCAGGAAAGTGGTTTGCAAAATTTTTTAGGAAAACCGTTGGCTCAATTAATGAAGAATCACAATATAAGAAAGTAAATTTTTTGATTTTCATTTTTTTTAATAGTGGAAAAGAAGGAAAGTGCGTAAATGTTATGTTACCTAGGATCTTAAACGTGACTAATTCCGAACAGTATAATGAAACGAAGTTGATGATTTCAGTAGTGATGGTACCAATCAATAATTTTTTCAACGATCTGCCAAAAGTTTTAATTAATAGCTCTGTTGTTTCTGCCGACCATTCACCCAAACCTAGGGTTTTCAAATTATAAGGTGCTTTAGTTAAAATATTACGTTGAACATCGCTCATTTCTTCGCAATTATTAAAGACCAATTCTTTTAAATTGTTCAAATTGTTCAAATTTTCAAAAGAAATGTTCAAAAGGTTCATGTTATATAAAGTCAAGGAAACCAAATTATCAACTTTTAATTTGGAAGAAGAAATAATTTTTGAGAAATATGATTCAGAATTTATTCTAAATTTAGTAAGTTTGCGTTGTTTTAGAATAATATTTGTTATGAGAGGTGAGAAATCAAAAATTTCAAAATAATGATTAAAGAACTTGATTTCATTATAATCATTTGACAACTTTTGCAAAAAATGAACAAATAATTGAATTTCATAATGTTTTTGCTTTCTTAACGTTAAAGTTTTAATATTGACCAAATTATTTAAAATGATCGTATCAATAAAATCTGTGTTAAATAATGGTTGGTCCAATAATTCAGTCAAAATTTCTAATGATTTTAAGTTTTTACCTTGCCTCAAGAATAAATGATAGAATGCTTTCAAGAGGGAAATATCCCTTTTCTTTTGGTAAATTTCATAATGTTTATTCATTAATTGTAAATCCCATTTTGTAAATTCTTCTAAATATGTAACGTATTCAAATAATGAGGGTTTTGTATAATTAACTTTAAAATTCAAATAATTCCTTTCCTCCTCATTAAAGCAGGTTAAATAAGTCCTTGCCAAGAAATAATAATGTAAGGAATCTTGTACATTATGAAAGGGATTTTTATAAAGAAAAGGGATAACAGCATTGCAACAAAATTGGTTGACCAGTGAGAAATTGTAAAGAATCGAGCGATCGTTTTGACACAATTTTATAATGTAATAGATACAATCATCAGATAAAGATTGAATTGGCATTTTTTTATTTGATTTTTTTTTTTTTATATAGAAACTCCAGAATTTATATTCCCACGTATTTTGGACAAAATGCAATTTGGTAACTCAAAATAAGTTCCTTTTTTGGTACACTCCTAATACGCATCTAGAAAGTGATGACATAATTTCTATTTTAAGTAATATTTCAATGCAATTATTAATCAAGAATTTTAAAATGGCTCCACTTTTGGAAGTTCTTTATTGCACGATATTGCACAATTATTTAATGATGCGGATGACTATGATGTGTTAAGAAAAATTCTAAAGTAAGTCAAAGAAAGAAAAACAAAAAAAAAAGAAAAAGGTTAAATATTTAACTGAGAATTTTTTTTTCTAAAGATATATTTATTCGGGTGAATTTTCTTTGATCGAAAATGATGGTATCATCTTTGATTTGTTATTTGCAGTCGATGAATTAGCGCTTCTAGAATTAATCAATTATATGGAAGAATACATTATTACTTATGAGCGTGAATGGATTCAAGGACATCTTGCAGAAATATTTTCTACTGCATCCAAATACGAAAATTTTACTAGACTTTGGAAGCACTTTTACGAAGAATTAGTACAAAAACCAAATGCACTTTTCACTTCCCCATATTTCCTTTCATTAAAACGGTCAACCTTACTTACATTCATTAAACGCAATGATTTGAATATTGATGAAGTGAAATTTGGAAAAATTTGATAGATTGGGCATGTGAGCAGACGCAAATGCTCCGTCACGATGTAGGACGATTTACACAAAATGACTTTAAGGAATTAGAAAGTCGATTAAAAGATTTTATTCCATTTATTAGATTTTTCAGTATCACAAAAGATCAGTACACTTTAGGAGTTTTGTCTTACGAAAATATTCTTCCTGATACTTTGAGAAATGAATTAAGGAAATTCTTTGAATCGAATGGGGAAAAATCTCCACCTAAAGATTTTCTTCCATCAAGAATTCCAATTAATCAAATGGTGCCAGATTCCGTTCTAATTAATAATAGACAACTGGAACTTTTGGCAAGTTGGATCGATTCAAAAGATAATGATGAAACTTAACTCAAAAAATGCATATGAATTTAATTTGTTACTTCGAGGTAGTCGTGACGGAATGAACGTTAATGATTTTCACAGACTATGTATTAACAAGGGACCAACGCTAGTTGTAATTCATAATTGGTGGTTATCATCCCAAATCATGGAATTTGAACAATTCATGGGACCAATCAGAACATTCTATCTTTTCTTTGAGCAAAGGAAACATTTTGGATAATATTATTTTAAGCCGAATCGGGTATGGTAAGCTTTCAGTTTTTAATGGGAGTAGTTCGTTATTAGGATTTCAAGACCTCAATTGGTTTGAAGGAAGATATAAGAAAAGGTATTTTGAAAAAGAAATTTTGAAGTTTAGTGGGTTTGTTACTGAAAATTATGAAGTTTTTCAAGTTGTTAAAAAGTAGGCAGATTTATTAGAATTGATAATTTGAAAATAAAAACTTAAAATAATTTTGTCTACTCATTAAAGTCATTTAAAAATTTTTTTGAAATTAATCCAATGTAAATATCACTTAATGTAACATAAGTGAAATAGAAAGTTTCTTAACTTTAAATTATGAAAGTTCGAGGAGAAATTGACAGATCCATTTAAATTTTTTTTAAAGATACTGACCTTGAACAATATTTCGAAATATTATTAAATTCATTAACTTGTAATTTTATCAGACTATCCTCTTAAATATAAAATTTCCAATGTAAAAAATGATTGAGTCAGAGAATTACATTGGTCTACATTCATTTCTTTGCAATATATGAACGTTAGTTCATTTGAATTTCTGAAAATTTTTGAACTTTTTAAAAAAAAACACTTGAGATCCATATTATATAAAGTTAAAAAAAAAAATAACTTTACAAACTGTAATTCTTCGGATTGATTTTCAACTTTTCCATTTTTGAATGAATTTATTGATTAATCTACAATTAAAAAATAACGAATGAAAATGCTGAAAGCATTTTTTTCGAGTTTCTGCAAAAAATTCATGAGTAACTAAAGAAAGTAATATTTGGCTAGGGTGATAGTATCAAGCAAAGATGGTACTAACAATTCATTAAAAAGTTCAAAAGATATCAAGTTTACAGCTTTTCTCAAGAATAAAATGATAAAAATCTTTAAAAGTGGAATGTATCGACCTACATGTATACTTTTTAAAAAATTGGATTTTATCGTTTCGTTATTTTTTTGTTTATAAATTTCATATAATATATATTATAAAATTGCGTTATTAACCAAAGATTGAATGTAAATCCGCTTTTGAAAATTCCTTTAAATGCTTAAATAATCAAATAAAGGAGGTTTTTTCGTTAATAATTTCACAATCATATTTTTTTTTAAATAATTCATTTCTCCTTCACAAGGCATGATAAATAAGTCCTTGATAAGAAATAATTATCATTTGCATCATTTGAAAAGGATTTCATAAAGGAATGAAATTGCAACATTGCAACATAATTCGTTGAAAAATAAGAAGTTTATAACATTGAGCGTTCATCTTGTAAAATTTTTATAATATAAATACAGTCGTTATTTAAAGATTGTAAATTTTTTTTTAAGAATTTGAGGGCATTTATTTAATAATATAGCCAAACTTTGATGCTCATTAATAGTTACACGAGCCTTTGAACGACACAGATGACTTTTGTGAGCTGACAAATAAATGTTGTATAACTCAAGCAATAGTAGCTAGTTTCCGAATGCATACGCGCTTTTTCTTTTTTTTTTGTTTGATTTCTCATAAGAAAAGGTATTTCATTTCTATGAAATTTGAAAATTGTTCCACAATGTTAACATGTTAAAATTTTAACACAAAATTACAGTAGGAGTAAAAGTTATGGAAGGAGGTAAATCATCCTTTCTTTTTTTTTTAATTTTTTTTAATGAATTCTTATATATGATGATTCAAATTTAAAATTTTATACGTGTAAAAAAGCCTTCAAAGGATGGTTTCCAAAAATATCTAAATGGATAACATACAACCCGATAACAGTATGATCGTCAAAAAATAGACCCACGTTTTTTCTTTGATCAGTGTCATTGTAACTTGGCAGGATCGCATCCAACAAAAATATTGGTTGTTAACGGAATGTGCGCGTCCATAAAAAAATATGAATTTCGAACATTCCAGATTTTCGTATTACTAATCCTACTTGATGATTAATCAGATTTCTTTTAGATCTTCGCCTGACAAAAAAAAACACGAACATTTAAACTGGATATGATCCAATTTGACAAGCCGTATAATGAGGAAAAATGATATTAATAGAATTTAACGGTTTTCACACACAGCGTTTACTAGCTTTGCTTCGTATACATAAAAAATATCCGTTATCTTGTTAATAATTGACACCTTAAACTTGCCAAATGGCTGTGTCAAAATTATCAGGTTATTTTGTTGCCCGAGTTCAAGACGCAAGGAATGGTTATGTGAGAGAAACAGCGGATCCGTTCCAAGTCTGCACGGATGATGTTAACATGATCTCATTTCCGATATCTTCTACATAAGGCTCATTGTATGTACCGAAGAATATACTAGAAAAACATGTGGCTATGGCCATATCCATCAAAAATTGTTGCCTCAGTTGTACAGCCGAACTTGAAAAATTCATTAAAAACGCTTTAAAAAAAAAAATTAATATTTTAACGAGTTTGATTTTAATGCATAAACAGGTTTAGTAAAAAAGCTTAAAAAATTAATACGCGACAACCTAAAGTATAACATGAACCCTGTTCCGATGTCCGCCCACTCAATGATTGAGTCGATGCACAATAGTCTAGATAAAAGCAAATACCAGTGTGTTTAAGATCGTTCTGGACTTAACAACGGTTACGTTTCCTAGTTTATAAAAAAAATTGAATTAAATTTAATTAAACCAAATTTTATTCATAAAATAACGTTATGATTATGCAATTTGTATCGATTGTGTAACGTTACGGTTAAATACAGAAACTTCTATTAAAAATATTTTAGCTAAATACTAATGAGGGAAAATCATAATACAGTCGAAGTGGTCTATAACGAATTTCTGTATTCCGAATTTCATGGTATTGCGAATCACATGAGTGGTACCAAAT